GGGAGTCACCAGAGTTTCTCATGTCCCACCTCTGGTGTGTGCTGTCCCTCAGCATGTCAGCCAGTGCCACTGTCCTGGGCAGTGGGATAGCCCTGATGCTGAACTACTGCTGTTTAGATCTGAAACATCAGTTTAGGTGGCCTTCTTTAGATTGCCTAAGCTCTCTCTGGTGTTTAACACCATTTTGACACTTGGAGAACACACCATCTTCTCCTCATGCATGATGAAATGATCCATATTACGCTGTCAGCTTTCTCCCACAGTGATTTCCCATATTCCTTGTATGTCTGTGGCCTTTCATGCAGTTTCTGCATCTCCTCTCCCTCTGCAAGACATGAACAATTTCCACTCTCCAGATTCATCTTGCTCAGCATCATAAGGTTGATCTATTCTTGTTGAATGTGGCTTTAAAAAGGGTTCAGCAAAGCTGTGTTGAGACTCAGGAATAGTTCTGCTTGGTGGACCTTCGAGCAGCTTCATACATATTGCATCAGAAGAGGCAGAAAGAGGCAGCACTTCATGAATTCATATTGCCCACATTTGGATCTTTTCTAAGCAGCTGTAAAAATTAGGAACTTAATTTTTAGGTCTCAAATTCTACCAAGCATCTTCAGAGATGTTGCAGGGAGCCTGGTGCCCAGGCCAAGCTCTCACTTTGCTTATCAAACCCTCTTAACTTCATAATGAACAAAACATTTAGCTCTCTCTACCCTGGTGACATAAGTATATTTGCTTCTGCCTTTCCTCTCTCACAGTCAGGAGGGATTTTCTTTTTTCTCTCTGAAGAAAGCATGTGTGAAACAAGGGTTTGGGCTTTAACTGCCTGTGGTATAAATGCCTGATGCTTCAGGAAAAATCCCTACAGATGTCACAAATGTGGATGTTCCTTTTTTTCTGCCCTGTTTGTCCTGCAGGAGAATTGTGTGTTCAGAGGGAACAGGAACTCCTGGGTTTATGGGATTAAGATAAACCCACTTACTTTGCAATAACATTCACAAGGATAAAAATGCAATTTTTAGCCAAGGAGCTGAACACAGTGTACATTATCAAATGGGAAAAAACCCTGTTCCTAGTAGATTAACATTTCCAATGTACAGTTAGTGTTCCAGCTGTTCATCCAGATGAATTGCATCTCTTTTACTGTGCATCTTTCTACTAGTGAACATGTTCTGGCATGGTCAGGGCTTGGCTATACCTCTACATCTTGGACTATTCTCTGTGTACTTCTCTCTCTAAATGCCTTTTTTAGCCATTTCTGCATTTCTTCAGCTGCCAAATGGCTCTCCTGCTGAGGCAGATGCTTTGGCTTCGCGCTTGGTCGTTATCCCTTGTATGTCCAGATTTTGTTGGTTACACAGCACTTGTCAGCTACTTGCTTTAAGGAAAGTGTGAGAACATTTTTTTCTGTGTGTGTGAACTAAGGAGATGATGTTGTGCAACACAGAATCACAGAATGGTTTGAGTTGGAAGGAGCCTTGAAAGGCCATTTAGTCCCACCTCCCTGCAGTGAGCAGGGACATCTCCAACTCGGTCAGGTTGCTCTGAGCCCGGTCCAACCTGACCTTGGATGTTTCTAGGGATGGGGCACCTACCACCACTCTGGGCAACCTGGGCCAGTATCTCACCATCCTCATTGTAATATCTTGCTTTTAATTGTGAACCCCAGGTTTAGAGGCATATATTGATGTTGCATATATTGGTGTTAAGTTTGGTACCATCAATATACAAATAAACTGTAGAGGGAGTGTTGATTTGCCTGAGGAGAGGGAGGCTCTAGAGAGAGGCTTGGAGAGGCTGGATCCATGAGCCAGGGTCAGCTGTATGAAGTTCAACAAGGCCAACTGCCGTTGGGTCACAACAACCCCATGCAACTATACAGTCTGGGGGAAAGGGGCTAGAAAGCTGTCCAGCAGAAAGGAACCTGGGGGGTCTGATTGAGCCAGCAGTGTGGCCAAGAAGGCCAATGGCTCATTGCCCTCTACAATTGCCTAAAAGGACATTGTAAAGAGGTGGGTGCTGATCTCTTCTCACAAGTAACTGGTGATTGAACAAGAGGGAATGGCCTCAAGCTGTGCCAGGGGAGGTTTAGACCAGGCATTAGGAAGAGCTTTTTCATTGAAAGGGTTGTCAAACATTGGAACAGGCTGCCCAGGGAGATGGTTGAGACACCATCCCTGGAGGCGTTTAGAAGTTGTCTGGATGTGACACTTGGGATCATGGCTCAGTGCTGGATGTGGGAGAGCAGGGTTAATGGTTGGACTTGATGATCTTGAAGGTCTTTTCCACCCTAAGTGATTCTGTGTTTCTGTAACCGTCCATGAAACACAGCAGGTACCTGCCTGCCTACCTGCTTGGCCTAGACACAGGTTATTGAGGTATCTCCTGGACAGAGGTTGCAGATGAAGACTTCTGCTAACTGCACTATCCAGTAACAACCAGAAAGGTCCTAGAGGCAGCAGCTTTAATGTGGTTGCCAGTATTGTGTTAACATGTTCCTCTGCAGAGGGTCCTCCAGGTTGCCCACCCACTCAGCCGTATTTTGTCATCTAAAATAATGTTATTTCTCTCTACACCCACATCTGTTTTCACTCTATTGCCGATGGAAATGCTGCTGTGTATTCTCTGTGTATGGCGGCTACTTTCCCAGCATCTAGAAAATTTACTCAGTGTAAGGGGATTTTACAAGTTCTCAAAAAACATCAAGTATTTTCCCACAGTAGCCACCCCGTGTGATGTCTACATGAAATGACATCTATTCACAGAACTACAATGTGCACCTGCGTGTGACTTGCTGCTCTGGGGTGCCTTCCCAGAGATCCTCCTCATGCTTGAGTTTCTTTTCTTTGAAGCCAGCACTTTCTTAGAGGGACCTTATTAAGTAACTTCCTATTGTGAACGTGTATGAAATCAGCCAGTTAGTGTCCCAGACGTCTGGTGCACATACTTGTACTAACTGTTCTGTTTGGGAAACTGTGACAAGTAACCTTGCTGATGTGTAGTGTTCTGAATGTGTCCTGTAGCTATCAGTAATCCCTGGTGGCTGCAGGGTAAAAGTGCTCAGATGGTGCCTGAGCACTGGGCAGCTAGAACAATCCAGCACGTGTTCTGTGCAGCTGTTTGTTCCAGACCTTTCCAAGAACCTTGCTTTGGGGAAACTCTCCCTTAAGACTTAGAATTGGATATCTGAAGGTATATGGTTTCTGGAACTGTTTAAATTGGCTAACTCTGATCTGTGATGCTTTGTCTCCCATGTCTTCAGTGTTAGTGCTGCACTTTTAAATATCTTGCCTTCAGATCTGCAATTATGGTGGGTCGTGCTATTAATGTCTACAACTCTCTCCTGTTCCCCAGAGTCACCTCTGTAGCAGCACAGGAATTAATTGCAATTCTGCCCTCCTAGCACAGATGATACCTTTCCAGATAAACCTTGAGAATTGCCTGTCCTGGCTCCTCCTCAAAACCTCCACCCCATGCTGAGCAGGTTGCTACCTCCAAGACAGGAGTCCAGGGCCAAACTAGCACAGAGTCAGATTTGAACCTTTTAAGCCCAGTTCCCAGTCTGACAACCACCAGTGCACTAGCTGGCCAGAAAAACTGATCCCAAACTGACAGATAACTTGCTATCTTAACTTCATTAACTTGCCCACCAAATGTGAAGAGAATGGAAGGGAATGAATAACTTGTCAACATGCTCCTCTAGAACATCTCTTAGAACTTCTGATTTAGACATATTCCTGTGACCCATCAGGGTATGATGATTGTGTGTCATTCTCTCCAGATTGCACAGTGGGAGGCAGTTGAAAGAGCACATAGTGATAGGTTAGTTTTCCCTTGGAGCAGTTGTGTTCTGCAAGAATTAGGACATCATATCACTATCTTTAAAGAGCATTTCCATTGTTTTCCAGTCTTGGAGGTGCCGCAGAGGTGCCTGCTATTACTTTGAAAGTTGGGATTTGGTTAGAAATACACTTTTCCAAACAAACTGGCAAGTCAATGAGCTTCTGCCCAGGTTTCCATGCAGTATTTGCAGAGGATTTTAGGGAAATAGCTAAATAAATGGCCTGTTCTGGTGCCTGTCCTTGAAGGTGGAAAGCATCCCAGCCTGACTAGGTACTACAGGGGTTGGCCTGCACTTTTGTGCATGGATTCTCTCTGATTGTAGTTCTGAGTTTCCTGTACAAATTCCTGCATTTCTCTGAAATGGATGTTGATTGTCTTACAAGTAATAAAGCTGATCAAAACATGGAAGTCATCCTGGTTCTCCTGTGAAACAATTTGTGACTTTCTAAGCTGTGTCAGATCTCTTTCCTTAATAATGTGTCTCAGAAAGAAAATGTTGAGAATTAGACTCCTATAGATTTCAAGGGGGGGAGAAAGAGATAAGTTTGGATTATTTGAAATCTTACAGTTCGGGTGTATTTTCATCAGGCTTTAAGGTGCTTAGAAGAGGCTTTTGTGTCTGTGAAATATCTGAGTAGGGGAAGGAAAGGTCCAAGAACTCCCCATACCTCCCTGCTGGACTTAGTAGTTCTGTGGTGTTAGTTACTCAGGCTGAATGTGGCACCAGATGAGCTCCTGGTTTAATCTTTGTTACTTAGTCCTTGTGTAAATATGGGGGGAACTGAATTGTTACGAAAAGCTTCTCTCTTCTGGCTCCATCAGAAATTCTCATTAAGATTAGTTGGCCATAATTTTCACCACTGAACAGGAAAAATCATATTTAAAAGTCCTATTTCTAATTAATTGTTTTCTGTATTTTTAAAATATGCATTTAAATATATATATATTTAAGAAATGTGTGTTTTACAAGCATGTGTATTTTGAAGTTCCGTGTTGTGTGTGTTGTAATACTCCAGGGTGGAGAAAAAGTACATGGAAGTTCTATCTGCTTCAGATGTGTGGATGGGAGGTGTGAAAGGGGAAAGGCTGCTGTGGGTGTTGGGCAGGGGTGCCCAGGGTGCAGCCTGTGCCTGACTCCTGCTTGTCTCCCCTCCTGTCAGACCATAGAATCCAACTGGCGCTGTGGGCGGCACAACCTGCAGAGGATCCAGTGCCGCTCCGAGAACAGCAAAGGTGTCTACTGCTTGCAGTATGATGATGAGAAGATCATCAGTGGCCTGCGAGATAACTCCATTAAGGTAAACACTTCCTAAAGGCTTTTCCCTAGGGATGAGGGAGTAGTTCTGCCTCAGAAAGCTTGCTGCTTGTGTTTCCTCAGTGTGTCTCTTTGTGGGACAGCATGTGTCTGCGCAGGGTTTGTGAGGGTGGGATGTCTTCTGTGGCCTGGCAAAGTCCTCACCTGCACCTTGCATTTCCTTTCACAAAAAAAGGCTTTTCTCTTTTTGTGATTGTTGGTTATTTCACTGTTCACTTATAGAATCATGGAATGGTTTGGGTTGGAAGACACCTTAAAGGTTTCCAGTTCCAACCCCCCTGCATGGGCAGGGACACCTCCCACCAGCCCAGGTTGCTCCAAGCCCCATCCAACCTGCCCTTCAACACTGCCAGGGATGGGGCAGCCACAGCTTCCCTGGGCAACCTGGGCTAGTGTTTCATCACCCTCACAGCAAAGAATTTCTTAATTAAGTCTCACATAAATTTCCCCTCTTCCAGTTTAAAACAGTTACACCTTGTCCTGTCACTACAACCCTTACAAAATGTGTATCAAAGAGAATTCCTGAAGCCAAGAGGGAGGACAGACAGATCACCCATGGATTCTTTCTATCTCTAGTTTTCGTCCTTTCTTCTCTCTTGTGGCAATGTTCAAGTCTTGGATCCAAGTCCTTGATAAGTCATTTATGCTTCTTGTTTTTAACAGATTTGGGACAAAACAAGCTTGGAATGTTTGAAAGTATTAACAGGACATACTGGCTCGGTTCTTTGTCTGCAGTATGATGAGAGAGTCATTGTAACTGGATCTTCAGATTCTACAGTGAGGTGAGTGTTGACTTTTTGCACAAGTATCATTTGAGTATTAGGGTTGGGATATCAGAAAACATTCCTAATATTAATGGGATACTCTTATTCCAAACCCAAGATATCCATACTTGGCAAAGCATTACAGTCAATCCTTTTTTTTTTTTTTCCAAATCTTGTCTTTTTTATAGTGTAAAGAATTTTGAAGGAATATGATCTGAGTGATTCAGGGCATATCCTGAAGCTGTAGAATGGCTGATAGCCAACCATACAGTGATACCTTCATTTAGAATTTCTTCTTCTGCCTTCTGACATCTCTTAATGATGCCTGTTAATGAAAGGGTATCTGTTATATGTGGAGCATTTGTCCTACTGCAGTTCTGATCATGCTGAATTTAAATTCTTGTACAAATTCCGTGGTCAGTAGATGTCCAACCAAGATGCTCAGATACAGTTCAGTGGAAGGGTCTTGGCTCCTGGTGGCCTGCATCGGTATGTCAGTGTCAATCTATAAATCATCCAAAAAATGAAATACTGATCAATACACCCTTCAGGTGGTATAAAACAATAGCAATTTTTTACTCTGTGTGAGGTGGTGGTAGCCCTGGGAAGAGCTACCTCCCTGTTGCCACTGACATGCTCCATCTGAATGGAGTGGTGTAAAACTGAAGAAATCATAGTGGGTGATATTTGCGTTGGCCTGTTCCATCAGTTTACACATCACACAGGTTTTAGTCATCCTGGACGAGCTACAGAATTGTGGTCATTGTTAAGCAGCAGTGGTCTCAGCTGAGGCATTTTCCTGCTGTTCACTGCTGTTAGTTATTGCTTGCGGATGAGGATGCTTCCCCAGGACCCACCTTCCCTCCTTTCCCAGGCCCTAAGAGATGTTCAGCATCCAGAGAACTCTCCATTACAGCCAGTAGCAGACTGGTTTATGCTTTAAACCATGCAGAGCCTTCATTTGGAACAAACTCTTTCTCTTTTGCAGAGTTTGGGATGTAAATACAGGTGAAGTTCTCAACACATTGATCCATCACAACGAGGCAGTGCTTCATTTGCGGTTAAGGTTCAGCAACGGGCTGATGGTGACGTGCTCCAAGGACAGGTCCATTGCAGTCTGGGACATGGCCTCTCCCACCGACATCACCCTGCGCCGGGTCCTGGTGGGTCACCGTGCTGCCGTCAACGTGGTCGACTTCGATGACAAGTACATCGTGTCAGCCTCAGGGGACAGGACCATTAAAGTAAGTTGGCAGAGCTCTGCTCCAGTGCCTGCCTGCCCACTAGGCCAGAGCAGCTTCTGAGCCTTGTTCCAAGGTGTTCCCAGCACTTCTGTGCCTTTTCCTCCACCACTCGGCGAGCTGCTTCCTCCTGCTGGCTGTTAATGTCTTTACGTGCCTAAGGAGGCTCGTAACATTTTTGTGGCTTCTTTTGTACGATTGCAAAAAAAAAGGAAAGCTCAGGGGCTGCTTGAACTCCAGCCTCAAGGTCGGTTTCTTTGTTAAATGCAGCACATTTTGTGCCCTTTTCATGCTGTGCCCTTTTCCAGGAGGTGCATTTGTTTCAATTGCCAGTCCTGTTCCAAATGAGAATTTGATCAGCACTTGCCTTTCCTCACCACACCTTCCCAGCTCAGCCAGACTTTGCCATGTTTGAGGAATGAAGGGGCTGTGTTTGAAGGCTGTTACATACCAGAAGATTGGAGTGTATTAATGTAACAAAGGCGTTTCCACCTTCCCTCTCTAGAACCAGAGCTACCTCAGACTGTGCCAAAAAGCTCTTGGCAGTTTAATGTCCAAATATCTGCCAGAGATCCTGCTGCACTCTGTGTTGGAAAATGAGCCACTGGATGCTCTATGTTCCAACTTCAATTACAGTTTATTAAAAATGGGCAAAGATGATAGAATCATTTAATGTTAAGAAAGAAGCACTAAACTAAACTTTCACAGGTCAGGGTTTTGGCCTGCTCTTACCAGTAGGCTGCTCACCATTTCTCTGGTAAAAATTGTGGGGTCTTTGTGTGTGTGGTAACTTCCACTTTCAAAATTAGTAACTTACCAAGATGCAAGTGGAATGAAGTTTTTGAAAGCATTTGGGGCAGGCTCTACCACCTGAAAATGTTATTGTACACATCCCACCCAGTCTGTTCTCAGGACGTGCAGTAGCAGTGCTGGTGTCACTGCAGGTCCCCATTGCTCCAGTCTGACACTCATGTCAGGTACCCAATCTTTGCCCATACAAATACAATTGAATGAAGGAATGGCTTGGGTTGGAAGGGACCTTAAAGATCATCTAGTCCCAACCCCCTGCATGGGCAGGGACACCTCCCACCAGCCCAGGTTGCTCCAAGCCCCATCCAACCTGCCCTTCAACACTTCCAGGGATGGGGAAGCTACAGCTTCCCTGCGCAACCTGGGCCAGGGTCTCATCACCCTCACAGTGAAGAATTTCCTCCCATCGTCTCACCTAGATCTCTCCCCTTCCAGTTTAAAACAGTTACCTCTTGTCCTCTCACTCCAAGCCTTTGTCCCAAGTCCCTCCCCGGCTTTCCTGGAGCCCCTTCAGGCACTGGAAGGTGCTCTAAGGTCTCCCTGGAGCCTTCTCTTCTCCAGACTGAACATCAAATCAAATAGTGTGAGACTTTTCATTCCCCAGCAAAGGTCAAGCCTCAGACCTCTTCTCTTGATGAATTCATCACGGGTTCTGTTGCAATTCAAAACACCTTGTTTGTTTGTGATTCTCAGGAGTGTTTCCCTTGTTTCTCAGGTCTGGAGTACGAGTACATGCGAGTTTGTTCGCACTCTCAACGGGCACAAGCGCGGCATTGCCTGCCTGCAGTACCGGGATCGGCTGGTGGTCAGTGGGTCCTCAGACAACACCATTAGGTGGGTGCCCAGGAGCAGCTGTGGGTGTGTAATCTGTGGAAGGAGGGTTTCCCCTCCCCCTTGGTGCTGTCCTGCACATGCCAAACGCCCTTGGTGTGTCCTGCTGTTGGGGCAGGCGATGTGCCCGGTGTGAGAATGAACGTGCCCACGTCCCTGTGGAAAAGTGGGACGCTGGGGTTTGTGTCAAAAGTAAAATTGCTTATACGTTGCTCTGGTTTCTCACCTTGTGTCTTCTGCTTGGAGAGCTAAGGAAGATGCTGGTCATTGGTTTTCTTCATTACTTCTTGAACCTCTGATCAGTGGCTTATGCAGAATAGAAAGAAGCGTATGTGAAGTTCCCAAGATAACAAGTGCCCACGCTTTTCCAGTGTGTTGGAATTCTTCCATGTTTATGTGCTGCAGCTGCAGACTGATCTCTGAACCTCATGCCTTTTTGAGCAAGTGATGTGCTGTGAGTCACAGAAAGCCATCTAGCAGCACACCTGAGCCCCTGCCTGTGGGCTGAGGGACAGTGCTGAACCTGAAGTACTCAAGGACTTTCTCCTCTCTTCTCTCAAGGTTATGGGACATTGAATGTGGTGCCTGTTTAAGGGTACTAGAAGGCCACGAAGAACTGGTTCGGTGCATCAGGTTCGACAATAAGAGGATTGTTAGTGGAGCCTACGACGGGTATGTTTTTGAAAGCAGTTTCAAAACATTTTGCCTTTCTTAGCAAAGCATCTTCTGAGATCCACTGAACCTCCTGTTCCCTGCTGTGAAGATTCTCTTCTCATCTGACTAATGGGTCAATATTTAACTGAGTGGATTTTGCTTAAAGCACCTTGATGCAGCAGGCTGCTGCTTTAAATAGCCAAGGAACTGCTTTTCTGGGGCTCTTTAGCAACCTCCTAAATTGTGTATCACTCAAGTTGGAGTTTCCTTAGAAAGTAAACTTCTGTTTGGTTGAAGTGACATTCCTATTTTTCTCCCCTTGGGAATTGCTCATTGTTCCTGTGTGCTTAGAGTAGTTCAGGCTTTCTGTTTTTATGACAGCAGCACTGGAAATGTTAATTGTGAGTGTAAATTAATCTTATGGGGCTCTCATAAGACTTCAGTGACCATTACTGTTGGGTTGGTGCAGGAGCCCCACTGTTAGTGTTTCTGACCTGCTCAGTGTGTTCAGTGTGTAGTGGATTCACAGCAGCTTCCATCCATGTCCAAACTCTGCATTCCTTTCTCTGCCTGTTTTATACTTCTAGTGAACAGCAGAGTGACTGAAATCAATTCCTGAACTGTTTGTCTCTAGCCTTTTGTTTGGGTTCAGTGTCTCACTGGGGTTGGCAGTCCCAGCTTAATTCCTACTGGAACTTTGCACCTTATCAGTAGGGCTGTGAGCTTCCCAGAGCTTCCAGACCAGCTTGTTCATAGAGTCACTTAGTCTTTCATGTTACCCACCCACTTGCTCCATCACCAAGACACATCAGCTGGTAAAAAGAAACACAAAGCCTGTTTCACAAGATGTAGAGTTAGTGTTTTAGTGAATATGGATTCTAACATTTGGCTTGACCCAGCTGTAGGGAAGATCTGGCATGCTTCCCTTTGCTTTAGGTGTTACTGATACCTGAAACAATGCTCCCATAATGACCTTCTTCTTTCCCTTTACAGCAAAATTAAAGTTTGGGACTTGCAAGCTGCTCTTGACCCTCGTGCCCCAGCAAGTACCTTGTGCTTGCGTACCTTAGTGGTATGTACAGTGAAATCTTTCCTTTGTAAGTGAAAGGCATTTTATTCCACTGTAGTGGGAGATGTGAAAAACTCAGGATGTTTTATAAAGCTGCTTTTTACTCTTAAGAACAAAGAAAAATATATGTATTGTATCCTGAATGCTTTGGATCTGAGCTGAAAAAAAAGAGGAAGTTTTTCTAGTTAGAGATTCTCAAGTACTCTGAAAAGAAATTAATCAGCGTGGCACTGTATTGAATAATTCTAGTTGCTAATGTGTTTCCCTAATATTATAGAGCAGGCTGTAAACTTCCTTTTATTAAAAAGGAGGGAGGAATCATGTGAGTCTTTCCCAAACCTTTCTCCTGACCCTTCAGTTGGGAAGGAAGACATGTGAAGAGGGAAGGGAGGCTGAGTCAGAGGGATCACCACAGGAGATCTGCTCACTTCAGAGGATTATCAGATTTAAGGCTGTTGCCTAAGTTGTTTTTTTGTCATGACGATTTAGGTTTATGACAGAAGACATAATTAGAAATAGATTGGGGGGTTGAGTTCCTTGTTCTTTTTGTTGAAATGTGCATGAAAATTTACTGCAGGACTTGGTTTGACAAGCAAGTAGCAGCCTGAAGTTATTGACTATGTGTGGTGGTAACTGGCTTATCCAGCATGTGCTTGGCCTTTCCAACACTTCTTTAAGTGCTTCCATGGCCAGAAAGGCTTCTCGTTTTCTTTCTGTTCAGTGGTCTTTGCACAGAGATGAGATTTAATTATTGTTTTTTTCCATATGAATGTGGTGTAATAATTTTACTGCAAAGGTTGTCTCTTTCCCCTCTGTCGTGCACTGGTTATGGTTTGGAGATCAGGGTGACAGCTTCAGTTAGTGCTCTACTAAAGGCAGAGAAAATTTATTAAAAATGGGTAAAGTGAGGCAAAGAGCAGAACCTTTTCTGGGCCACTTGGTGCCATGTTGGGATTTCTGGAAAGAGCAGGTACCCCTCCAGCTCCTTATCTAGTTAGAGCACAGTGGTGTTGGCTGGTCTCTGGAGCTGTGAGGGCTGGTGGGCTCAGTGCAGAGGGGCAGGGGGAGCAGCACTGGCTGCAGCTGCTCTGGGAGGAGCCCTGGCAGGCTCTTAGTGCCAGCCCCTCCTCTCAATCGCTGCTACTTGATTGAAGGGGCTGATTTTGTCTATAATCATCTCAGCCTCCACCTCCAGCCCTGCCAGGGATGGCTCAGGGTTTGCAGGCACTGGATTTGGGAGCTGTGTGTTGTGCTGGAAAAAGCCTGCATAGAAAATCAGCTTTTCTGTAACTTGAGTGTAATTATAACCAAGGGTTTGTTAACCAGCCCCCAGAGTTGGAATAAACCATTCAGTGTTCAGGCACAGAAGTGTCACCCTCTTGCCTTGCTAACTCATTTCTTCTTTCTCACAGGAACATTCAGGACGTGTCTTTAGACTCCAGTTTGATGAGTTTCAGATCATTAGTAGTTCCCATGATGATACAATTCTGATTTGGGATTTCTTAAATGTGCCACCCAGTGCCCAGAACGAGACCCGCTCTCCATCTAGAACATACACCTACATCTCCAGATAACAGTCTGCACTTTACTGCCCTCAGGAGGTGAGTCTCCCTCTTTTTATTGGATGTACTAGAAATATCTGGAATTATCTCTGCCTGCAGGTTGGCTTAGTCAGAACAAGAAGCTGATGTTTTCCTTAAGAAAATAAAACCTATTTATGCCACTTCTTTCACTATCTAGTCTTTGTATGGTCACGCTTCAGCGTGGAACACTTGTCAGGTTGTCTTGCCCCCTTCTGTAATCCCTCCTGGGTATAACTGGGCACCTCAGGTGTTTGATGGAAAGTTATTACGTATTCACAACGTTCTTGGAAGCTGAGGAGACTTGGTGTATTGCACAGGTATTCCAGCTACACTGTGAGATCAGGATCTTTTAGAGTTGTTGATCTATCTGCTCACTGTGTGAAGCTTTGTAGGGAGCACTGGAATGCATCTCTGGTAAACCAGGTGTTTGTGTGATCTCTGGGCTCATCAGAAATGAGCAGTTCTGAGATAGCCCCAAATGCCAGGGAGAGCTTTCTGAACTAAAAATGACATCATGTTGGGCAACGTGACAGCTCTGAGCTCTCAGAAACATGAACTTTGCCTGTTTGGTTTCCATTTTTCTGCGAGTCAGCTTCATTTAGTTCTCAAAACCTGGTGGGATCTACAGCTCTGCTGTAGATCTGTTTGTTGGGAAAGTGGATTCTTTTCCTTATGTCATCTTTATTGGTGCCAACAATTGCCCTTCAAACTATAAATAGTGGGGAATGCTGGGACTTGGGAATGCAAAAATCACCTTAGCTCAGCAGAGGCCCTTCCTGCAGTCTCTGCCCCTGCTGAGGCTGGATGATTCCAGGGGAGTGGAGACAGTGCAGTGAGAGGAGTTAGTATCATTACCCAGCAGGAAGGATTTACTTCATTTGAAGTAGATTGTTAATAATTTTCTTAATTAAGGTGGGAAAAGCTTTCCCTGTCTTCATGCAAGCACAGATTTTCATTATCCCTTTGTATTTGTTTATATCCCTGCTGTAGCAATCAGGTCCTCAGGGTTTTCCTGAAGACACATGTTGCTTCTTTGAGATGCTGATTAAAAACTAGTTTTCTTTCACCTGGAAGCATTCCTCAGGGAAGGGTTGGCTGCCCTTCCTACTAACTGAACTCATCCTCATTCTAAAACAAGCCAAGATAACATCCTCTCTGGAACGACCCTTGGATCTGTTAGCCTGTCAGGTTTCACAGAGGGTCAAAGCAAGGAACTGGCCCTTGCTTGACTGAGCTGCTTCCCTTTCTGTCATTACTTCATAGGAAATTAGGCCCATGATTAAAGAGAGAAATCCTGAAACTACCCAAAGAACCAGGTCCTCTAGTGCTGGTCACCTGGGATTCCTTCTTCAAATTAGTTTTGTTTGATCTGGGATGACACATTTGCATCCCTGTTGTGGAGAGCTTGGCGCTGTCACTGGTAACGTCCCCAGGAACTTTGTCCTGGCTCCTGTGCCACCTGGGTCCATACCTAAGGGAACTTCAGCTGTGGAAACTCTGAGGCTTGTAGAAGTTGGTGATGTTCCCTCTCTGTGGAAAACTTTTTTCCTCCTTTTCTGAATATTTTTTTCCCTTGTCTGTTCTGGCAGATAGAATAGGCTGCATGAGAAGATGACAGTAGTTTTAGGAACCATCTCCATCTGTCTTCCAGTTGACACACCAGTGCTTTCATCTGTTAACTTAAAAGATAATTTGAGATTGACATTCTTTTTGTTTGTTTTAATTCTGGAGTTACATTTGGCAGGTTTTTAGTAGTTTTGCTTGATGGAAAAGCTATAGATCATGAGTCTTCAGCAGAAGAGAAATTAGGAGTTGAATAAAATGGGTATCAGCTCACTTGTCCAGCAAGATGCTGGTGTCTGACTTGCCTCTCCTGCCACCTGTGGCCCTCCCGACCCTCTGTGTGATGTGTCTGTGAGCTCTGAGAAGCCTTTGGCAGCAGGTTCTTCCCTTCCAGTTCTGCACACTTGGCAGTTTGCACAGCTGATCTCTGACTCACAGCTGAAACCACACAGACCCCCCCATCCTGGGAGTTGTTGGGAATGACAGTCCCTTAATAACGATTTCCTACCCAGGAGAGATGCTGTGATGTCACTTTTTGACAGGTTTGTCTGACTGCAGAATCCAAAAACCCATCAATCTACAGAAAATTATGGTCAAGCAGCTAATATTTCATTATGACATTTAATTAAACAGTTTTAAATGCTTTCAAACATTCAGAGTTTTCTGAGTTTTGAGGCAGCCCTGTACACTTTTTTACAAGGCTTGCAGAGTTGTGCCTCTTCAAAGAGGATCATTTTTGACAGTCCTGGCAGTTGGCTGTGAGAGTTTTATTGCTTGCTGTGGAATTCCTGTTGTTTATTGTAACATGATAAAAATTGTTACCATATGATAGTCTAATATTCATATATTAAGCACCAAGCCTTGGGCTCGGGAAGGGGAAGTGCCTGAAGATGTTTTAACCTTTCATGGGAATTTTGGATCAGAGAGGGTAGTTCTCCATAGTCCATAATTTTGGGAAGTGGCAGGTGAAATCCAAGCTCAGATTTAGTTACACTAAAAACAAGCTAATCATGGAGTCCTGTGGGTGGAAAAGGTAACCAAGATAAAGAATGGCTTTGAATTTTTGGTCTGTTTTCTTCAAAGCTGATGTATTAAAGCAACTAAGCTCAAATCCTGTGCACAAGGTGCTTCTCCTCTGGGGAGGAAAGGAAGATGTTCTCACAGCTGCCTGTAGGTCGCTGTTGCAGTAAATAACATTCATTATTTAGTGAGGCTACCAGGTGCTTCAAGTGTTGCTTCCCAGGAGGGTTTTGGATTCTTACTGCATGTAAGAAAACTGCCAAGCTATAGGTGGCCTCCCAGGGAATCCTCCATTGAGAATCTTGTTCCAAGCTGAATTCAGAGCATGTTCTGCAAGGAACAGTCCCGTAGAGACACATCTCTCCTGGAAGGAAGGACTCGCAGCACAGAGGGAAGTGTGTAGCAGGAGCACCCCCTTTGTGTGTCACACAAGTATTACCCTCCTCACAGGTAATTTGCCCTTTTAGCCTCAGCCTGGAGTGTAGAAGATGGTGTGGGACTGACCCCCTTCAGATGTCTCCAACTGTTGCTTTTGGGTTTGTGTCTTCTGTCAGTTCAACTTCTCTTTTGTCTTTTTCAGGGTTTCACAGTCTTGAACTACTGGATTTTTGGCTACTACATGCCTGAAGATGTTGATTGACAGCTAAAGTCAGAATTGGTTCTAGATGCTGTGTAGATGCAAAGCAGCACAATTCTATCTCTAAATTTCCTAACGTTTCCTGCTCTCAGTGGTCGTCTTTGAATTTACTACAGATTCACTACTTGGAGTAGATGAATTTCAGAAGCCTGTCCTTCCCTGCCATGAGAAATCCAAAGCTTCACATGTAAATTGTCCGTAGAAACTGAACTCTGATGGCTTATTTTTCAGAAATAAATCAGAAGTCAAGAAAGGACTTGGCCTAATTTATATTGCTTTGCACTTTTGTCTGACTTTAAAGAAAAAAAAAAAACCAACAACAACAAACCATTCTCCAATGAAATTTGGGTGCCAAACACATACCCAGAATGTACAGAGCTTTGCTTTTCCAAGTCACCGTGTCCTTTAGACTTTGCTCTCATGACAGATTTCAGAGCCCGTTTCGGTTGACAGGAGTGTACGTTGGACTCTTAGAAACATTTCTGAATTGCTCAGTAATATTTTGGGATGACAGTTGACTTATTTCTGCACCAATAATTTCTTTTAAATTAAAGATTACCTGTAATTCAGGCTAGGTTATCTGAACTAGTTGTATAGCACTGTCTTTTCCTTTGAACTGTGCTCTGTACTCCGGCCGTCCCACGCTTCCTGATGTTTGGTGTAGGAAAACCTTTCCATGTGTGCTTGCCTCATTCCCAATACTGTATAAGCATATAGATATAATGTACATAACAGTGGAACCTCCAGGTGCTGGAGTCAGGATTTCCTGACACTTCACACTAACACAGCATGTGGTAGCACTTGGCAGCAGGATGTTCTAACTACTGGCACTGGAGGGTTTCGGATGAGTTCCTGAGACATTTTCTCTGCAAAAGGAGGTTTCCAGTATTCATTAGGATTTTTTTTCTAATTATTTTTTTTTAATGGGAACTACATATTTTAAAATGTAATTTCTTAACTTTTTTTTTTAAAGATTAAAAGGTGTTTAATTTATGTTCTGTATCTTATATTTTTGTGCCGCAGTATTGACAGATGTCTTTCCTTGAACACCAGTGGGTCCTCCCAAGTGCCTGCTGATGTCCTGTGGTAGCAATAGTTTGGCTGCTTAACGGAGAAGACACCATGGGCCAAAGTTAAAGTTATTTATGTTTGATTTGTAACACTTCCTTATGGTGGAGTGGAGGTCCCTTCAAGTCAATGCTTTGATTACCATGCTCATCACCATGCTGGTTGTACCTGTGAGCCGTAGCCACAGTGCCACGTCCTGCTCATGGTTCCTCTTCCTTAGTGTGTTTTTATTAGGAAGTCTCATTTAGTTTCTTCTTACATTGTCATGATCTCTCCTCTAGTTCATGTGGTCAAATAAAAGCTTCTGCATTTTCCTGATGTCAGGATGACGTGGCTAAATGCAGAGGTGGATGTTTGACCTGCACTAGCCAGGTGGGACTGTCCCCTCGGTGGCTTTTATCTCCTGCTTCAGTCAAGCTCAGCGGGAAACCCGCCCATTTTCCTGGAAGGATGTGTCCTGGCACAGGGATGTGTCGTCATCCATTTGATCCTTTGTACATTGTGTGTGTGTTTTGTCCTCTGGCAGCACTTCCCTGGGTCTGTGTTCTCTCCTTTTACACCCAGGAAGGGCAGGAGGTGGCTGAGGGGTCACTCCGGCGTTCCCAGTGGGATGGCCGTGCTCGGACACAGCGTTTCTGTGTCCAGGCAACTCAGAGAACATCCAGGTGGTACCAACCTGCTGCAGAAACACCACTGAAGGTTTTCTCCTCTTCACCCTTGACATGGAGAGAGGTGTTGGGATCGGTGTTTAAGTTGAAACTCCCCTTTACCTGTTACTACAACAATATTTATTTCATCGAGATGCCCCAAATGTGATGAAGTACAGAAGATTAAAACCACGCTCCTGAGACCATTTTTGGTAAGCTTGACAGTAGTTTGTGAAAGTGTCTTACTTTACCCTTCTCATCTAACAGCTTTAATATGAAACTGTTAAAAAAGACAAATCTATTGCAGCCCTGAAGACAAAGGTATTTGTTTCCGAAGAGCAGAGTCCTTTTTTTTACATGCATGTGTAAGGTTTAAATTCCTGTTTTTCCTTGGGAGATAATGGTATTTGAACTTTTGTGCTTTGTGTATAACATAGCAGTGGACTTTTGTGATTGGCACCCAAGGAACTTGACTCCTGGGATTAATGGTAGTGATCCTGGCTGCACTCTGGACTTTGTTTTGCTAACCATAACTGAGCAACTGTACATTACTGCTAGATTAATGTTTCAAAGCACTGGGATAGTCTAATTCTAACTTGTAATTATGTTTGCCAATTATCTGTTTGGAAAGTTGGTGTATGAACAGCTTCTGGAAACTGTTAAATTGTACAGATATTGTTCATGATCTAAAGCTTTGTACTGTGGAATGTGCTTAATAAAAAAAAAAAGTTTGAACTTTAATTTGTCAAATAAATGGGTAAGTGGCATCATCTGCCTGGCTGGTGGGGTTTCACACTGGGGCACTGAGCTCCTGCTTTGCTGCAGCTCAAGAGTGTTACTGGGCAGCAGAAACATCACCAGGAAAATTTGTTCTTATCAAAAATGCAGATAGAATTTTTACAGTATTACTATTGCCTTGGCTGCTGCAGCATCTGTGTTCATACCCTGAGCCCTGGGCAGAGAAACTCTTCCAGTGCCAGCTCTGTCTCAAGAAAAACTTTTCCTTGGGTTTTCTTTAGCTGAAATGCAGTGACTAGTGAGAATAAGTGACTCAACGTTCTTACCTTTCCCCTCCCTCCTGGTCTGCTGTCAGTAGTTTCATTGCTGAGTTCATTTTGCTTTAAACAACTTGAGAAGTGGCTGCTGCTCTGTGGTGATGATGTTGTAGCTCCTTTCTGAAGGATCAGCTGGTGCAGGTTCTCTGCTGCTGCCTCCCACCCTGGGCACAGGGCTGGCCAGGATCTCTCTGCCTTGTCAAGGCTTGGGCCTGAGGGTAGAAAAGTCTTGTTAAATCCTGGTGCTCCAGCCTCTGTGGTGCTGACTATGGGGCTCAGCACCCATCTTAAACCTGTTGGTTTTGTTAGGGTGTGTGTTGGAAGCAGTAACCTGAAATGTTTTTAAAGGTGCTATAAACTCTAAGAATATGAACAAAGTTCTGGCTCAGTACTGGGAAAATTTATTCTTAAAAATGTCTCTCTAATGCACTTCTTATTCTACTTGGCCTGCTCTGACACTGGGTAATGATTTTTAAAGCACCTTTGATGCTGCTCAGATTGTGGCTGCACTTTAGTGAGAGGAAAACAAGTAAAATCTGGTGTATTTTCTGCTGGAAGTGCAGTGTAAAAGGGAAGCCTTGCTGAGCTCTTGGAGGGGGCTGGGAATGTCCTGCTGAATGGCCTTCTCCAAGTAAGCCATAAAAGCTCTGTGATCTATCTGCTTGAATCTGGAGTATAAACTTTGAGGTCAGACTGTAAAATTCCATCATACCTGGGTGGCCTTTGGGTTTGGTTGTTTTGTTGGGTTTTCCCTCACGTTTGTAGCCTGTTTAACAGCCTGTTCATTCCCAGCAGAGCCCTTCATGGTGAAGCAGTGGAGGCAGCTCTGCCGGGTGCTCCCACCCATCCTGGCGTGGCCTGGGGCCCCTTTGAACTCTTCCTTCTCACCAAAAGTTGGGAGTGATGCCCTGTCCTGGGTGCAGGTAAATGCTGCTTTGAAAGGCCCTGGGAGCTTGGGGCAAGGAGGGGACAGCTCCGGGCACCTGCTGGTTAAGGAGAGGCCACAGGGTGTTCTCAGGCTGCAAGACTTGAGGCAGCTGGTTGCTTTGGGGAACCAAGTGAAGGGAGAGGGGCTGTGCTTGGAAATCAGGGGAAGGGGTGCCTGAGGTCCCTCAGTGCCCTGTGTTGGGAGGAGTGGTGGTTTTAAAGCCAGCTTGGGTCCCTGTTCTGCTTTGGGCTGTGCCTGTGTCTTCTGCACAGCAGTGCAGTTGGTCGCTTTGCCATAGCTGTGGGCATTGTCTGTCAGGAGGATCAGAGGGCAAAATGCTCACAGAGAACTACCGGTTACTGTTATGAGATCCTTTAAAAACTCCCATCTGAAGCTACACTGCAGTGGGCTGGGCTGTTGGACCTGGGGGGTCTCTGGCAAGGTTTGGTGTTGGTGACTCTCCTGGCTCTGGTTTCCCCACCAGAGCGTGGTTCTCCAGCCTCGTGTCACCTGAAGGAGGTGGCTTTCCAGCTGCCACTGCTGGCTTGTTGACTGGTGTGTCTGTGTGTGCAGGGATGTCACACCATGTCAGCATTGTGAAGTGACAGCTTCAGCAGAGCTGCTGCCTGCAGAAAGGCTCCTCTTGGGTTGGATACAGCTCAGCCTGGGCTGGCTATGGAGGTGGGAGCCTCGTTGATGAGCTTGGTTGGGTACAAGTGCACTTCATTAATCCATGGGAAAAGTGATTGAAGGAGGGGGTGGGAGGGAGAGCAGCAGGAGGAGTGTTTGTGGGCTGAACAGGAGATGTTTAGGCCTGATACTACAAACTGTCCACCCTGGAGCTTTCTCCTTGGTGGCCCAGTGCAGAGCTGAGTTTTTGCTTGACTTTGCTGAACATGTGTCTGTGCAGTGTGCCTTGTCTTCAGCTGCCTGCTCTCTACCTCTGCTTCTCACCCTGCTTCCTCTTTCTGAGCAGCTGTGAGATGAAGACGACCTGGGTAGGGACTGAGAGCAGGACTGCCAGGGCTGTGGGAAGGAGCAGGGAGAGCCCAGTAGGAATACTTGCAGAAACAGGATAACTGGCAGGGACCAGCATGTGCAGGGAGCATCTGGATGTGGAGGAACATGTTGCTTTCCTGTCTTGCATGAGTCTGGTCGTGTTTGTGGCTGATTGTGCCAGACCTGTTGGGGAGGGCAGCAGCTGCAGGGAATGAGAGTTTGGGGTGGTTGCTCTTGCCTAGTGGGGCTGCAGAGGCTGCCTAGCACAAGCTAGGCTGGAACTGGGAGTTTTAATCAGGCTTTTAACCTGGTGTGAAGAGAACAGGCCTGTCCCAAAGCATTTCCAATGACTCCTGGATGCTGGAGGGAGAGCAACACGTGTTTCTGGAACAGAACTTGCTGCCTTCACACACAGGTCTCTGTGTTTGGCACCCAGTGCCTCCCCCACACCCAAGGGGTGGGTGCTGCCAGCCCTGCCTGCATCCCTGCCCACACGAGGCAGATGCTGCTCTCCCCTTCACCGAGCTGCTTAGATGCCCCATGCAGCTGCTGCTCCAAAGTCAAAAGCCTTCAGGAGAGTCAGAAAAGAGCTTTCCCTTCTGGAGAAGTGTGAGGGGTGTGTGTTTTTGGAGGTTTATTCTTGGTACTTGCTGGAAAGGCTCCATGAACAGCAGTGGCCACGTGTGCCAACGGGAGAAGATGGATGAGGCGAGCGCTTGCTCCGGGGAGACCTTTCCCCTCTGGATGTGGTGAACAAGCTGTGAAATGTTCCTGCTGTGTGTTTATGGATCCAGGGCACAGGCAGGAGCTGCTGGGCCCAGCACAGGACGTGTCAGTGCAGGAAGGGCTCCCTATGTCTCAGTGGATGGGGTTGGGCTGCCCTGGGCCA